GGTCTTGAACTCCCAAGCTCAACGGATCTGCCTACCTTGGCCTCCCAAAGTGCTGGGATTACAGGTATGAGCCACCGCACCAAGCCTTGCAATTTTTTTTTAAGTGCAAGCTTTGGAGCATGCGTAATCAACAGTAACGATACCATTCCCAAGTAGGCCAAAATCACTGTGTGTGGGGGGGGCGGGATTATAAAACAAAGCACCCATAGTATAAAAACAGATATATGACATACCTGTGGCATTAAAGTTCCCCGAGGTAGAGGGAATGATTAGAAAAAAAGAGGTCTAGGCCAGGTGTGGTGGCTCACACCTGCAATCCCAGCACTTTGGGAGGCTGAGGTGGGTGGATCACTTGAGCTCAGGAGTTTGAGCCCAGCCTGGGCAACATGGTGAAACCCTGACTCTACCAAAAATACAAAAAATTAGCTGAGTGTGGTGGCACATGTCTGTGGTCTCAGCTACTTAGAGGCCGAAGTGAGAGCTTGAGCCTGGGTGGCAGAGGTTGCAGTGAGCCCAGACTGTGCCACTGCACTCCAGCCTGGGCAACAGAGTGAGACTCCATGGCCAAAAATAAACACATAAAAAAGGAAACAACACTGCTATAGAGCAGGAGTCCCCAACCCTGAGGCCACTGACCACTACCAGTCCGTGGCCTGTTAGGAACCCGGTGGCACAGCAGGAAGTGAGCTGCAGTCCAGTGAGGGAAGCTTTGTCTGTATTTACAGCCACTCCCCATCTCTGGCATGACGGCCTGAGTTCCACCTCCTGTCAGATAAGCGGCAGCATTAGATTCTCATAGGAACAGGAACCCTATTGTGAACTGTACATGTGATAGATTTAGGTTGCAAGCTCCTTTTGAGAATCTAATGCCTGATGATCTGTCACTGTCTTCCATTATCCTCAAATGGGACCATCTAGTTGCAGGAAAATAAGCTCAGAGTTCCCACTGATTCTACATTATTGTGAGTTGTACAGTTGTTTCATTATATATTACAATGTAATAATAACAGAAATAAAGTACACAATAAGTCATTCTGAAGGCCATCCTACCCGCTGTCCACGGAAAAACTGTCTTCCATGAAACTGGACCATGGTGCCAAAAAAGATTGGGGACCGCTGCTCTAGAGCAATTGTGCCTGGTTTCCAATTCAGTTCCAAACAATTACTTTACTAGCTATGTAATGACTTTGGATAACTCACTCTTTTTATCACTCAGTTTTGTCAGCTACAAAATGATCTAAAATTGCTATGATTAAATAAGTGAATTCATGTAAAGCACTTAAAACTGTCTGGTACACTGCAAGTGCTTAACAAATCTTAGCTATTTTAACGGCACTGTTCTGGATTATAATCACCAAGAGAACTACATATGCTCCAAGAGTTTATAATCTTAAAATTGTATAATCTGTGCTTTGTAAAGCAGACAGATCAAGTATATGTGTTTATCTTCTCTCCTTTCCCCAAATCCTATGACAATAGAGTAAAGGATTTTACATACATATATCCCTCTTCTCCCCATAAAAAATCCTGAGAATGGGAGCTATCAGTCAACCACAGATTTCTAGAAGTGAGGAAAAGAGTTTATTACTAATGGATAAAACAAAGTAGCCCACAACAAACCCAGAATACTGTATGAGAAGCTGAAACTGTTGAACCTGGTCACAGATCCTTATAAGATGTAAGCTCCAAGTTCTGAAGATATGCAAAGGGTAAGGTGGTGCTACAGTAAAAAAGATAATTATTTGAAAAAATGTCTCTGGAACTGTTCTCCCCTCCTTTCTTCAATTATGGTGCTATTGAGTGTAAAACAAAATCACAGCTAATTTCCAATGAAACAGGACAATCTGGTTCAAAGCAAAGTTTCAGATTTATAAAGCTATAACCTTATTTTGTCTTTTTTTTTCTTCAATTGTTGTGGGGACACTAACCAGGAGGAACATGTTGTTCCCAGTTTGGGGATCCTCAAGTAAAGCCACTAGTCCTTTTCCTTTTCTTTAAAGTTCAGGAATTTTACTAGAATATGTCTTAGTATTGGTCATATGAATCAACATGGTGACGAACATGGAGTATTCTTTCCATATGCGGTTTCAAGTTTTTTACATTTCAGGAAAGTTTTATTACAGTTTTAGTATTTGTTGTTATGCTGTTTTGATTTTTTCTTTTTCAGGTACCTCTATTATTTGTCTTCTTTGCCTATCTTTCTTATTGTTACTTTTTCTTAAATCTTTTAAATCTATTTTATTTTTTAAAATTTCACCTTTCCACCACCGATTTTTTTCTTTAATGGCATTGTTTGTTCTTGCCCTGCTTCTATTTGAGGCTTCAGCTCTGAAAATTTTTTTTCATTTACTTCTGATTTTCTCTGTCATCTCATTCCCACATTTTCATAATTGATATATGTTGTTCTTTAATGTCTTATATCATTTTCTTAGTGTCTTTTAAAACATTGTGAAATAGATAACAGTTTTGGTTATAATTCTGGACTATTTTGTGTGCATTTTTTCATTGCAAGTTCTTATGTCTGGAGAGATATTCTGTCCCTTTTTCTCGTATAATAACTTTGTATGTGATTTGACCTCAGTATCTTTCTGTAGCTCATTTTTATGGGAATTTAATTTTCTTGAGCTTTTAGAACGAGTAGGGGTTTGGGGAATATAAGTTCACACAAAACTGTTTCTGAGTAGTGCTAAAAAATACAGTGGTTTGCTTTGTGGTTTGTTTTCTAAGATTTCTTGATTCTATAACTTTGCCTCACTTTTATATGAACTATCTCCTTCTCTTTTCTTGTCTCTATTGTCCTTTCATAAAATTTTATTTCACTCCCTGCATAAAAGTTTTGTAAGATTTTACTGCACTTCCTTTTCCTTAGGGCTCTGGCACAGAATGGCACCTTGGCAAGTCAGTTTTGAGTGTTCACAGGAGGTAGACTACTCCTGCCTGTTTGGTCTTTCTTATGCTAGGCCTTCACCCAGATAATGGAGAGAACAAAACTCCCCGGTTTCAGCTATGGCTAATTGGCCAGCATAGTCTTTTAGCGGATACTGTTGGCTATTCTGGAATTCTCCTGTTCTAAGGTCCATCAGATGTTGCCCCATTGCTTCCTTCTCACTTTTGCACAGATGTCAATACCAATTGTGTCTAGAGACTATTGGTAGTTTGCCTCAAATATTTATGTATTGGTTTTCATGGGGATAGCATGTCACATGGTTTAATTGTTTCATGGATTTTAAACTCTGCTTTCTAGTTTCTCTTTCTGCTTTTTACTAGATGATTCAGAGAAACTGAAAACCTATGCTACTGAGGCCACAACCATTGACTTTCCATAACTCACTTCTTCTCCCTACCCTTTTCCCCCAGGACTAGCTTTTGAATGCCTGTGACATACCGTCTTTACGTTCTACTTGAGAGAGAAGCTAGTAACACTTTTGTTTCTTTTTTAATCAAATATTTTTGAAATGCATCACAATGATGAACCAAATTAAATTTATTTACAGTGAAATTTAAAAATTCTCCCATTTTCTATATAAAGCTTTCACAAACCCTATCCTAGTGTCCATGTCATAAAACTGCATTAAAGACATTATTTTCATTCTGCAATAACAAAATTCCTCAGGATGGAGAGAATCTAGGATATTTCCACCAAACCAAATTCTGTGCCACAGTCTACAGAATAAAAATACTACTGAACAAATTATGTATTATTAAGTTATCCTGAATAACAATCACATTAGTTTTGCACTTTAGAGATAAAGTGACTGATGTATAGGAGGAACTGACTGAAGGATGCAAGCAAAGCCAAAGTTGGTTGTCTCCATTTCTGCAATGTACTGGTTTCGATTTTAGCCCTCTCCGGGCGAAAAAAATACCTCTCTAAATGTAACTCAATCTATATTTCAAATAAATCAAAGATAAGCTAACATTTGTAAGTTTTTGTACTTTTCTTTTTCATCTACCAAATCTGATTGGAATCCAGCAACAAAAACTCTTTTCCAGAAGTAAAACTACCCTCATGTTTGTAAGTACTGATTAAACCATAATTTAAAAGGCTATTTACAATACTACCCATCAAGACTGATTCAATCAACTACACAGATTTCAAAACTTTTTTTTTTTCTGTAAAACTGCAAACAGGCAAGAGATCTATCGAATTCATTAAATGTGACAAACACCCATCACACAAAGTCTAGTTTACCTAATAGATGACTGCTTTCTCCTCTCTTTCCACAGTTCCAACATATAAACTACGTTTTTGTAATCTACACATTAACAGTGCCCTGGGGTCAGTACATGCCAAATATTATTAGTAGTATTAATGTCCTATCAATTTGTTTCCCAACCCCCTCTCTCTGTTTCACAGCAAGGCCTACAAATAAAGGCCCTAAGCTCCACTCGCCAGCCCGCCCAAGTTTTTTGCTTTGGCAATAGGGGACTGGTGCTGTTTTTGAGCTAACAGAAAATAAGTACAAAAGGCATTATCAGTATGGACCCTCAGCCACGTCGGAAAGTCCTAGGCGTTGGGGGCCGGGTGGGCCGCGCTCTGGATCAGGGAAAGTAAACAAGGTGACCGCGTGCAGAGGCGGCTGTTATTGTTTGTTCGTGGGTCTGCCGCTCTGGGTGGGATCGGGGAACCTACGAGGACACCCACTCCAGCTTCGCAGCCTCTGTAAGGAAAAAGGCAACTTGCAACTTCCCTGGAAGAAACGGGAGAACGGTAGAAGCGTTCTTTCCCAGGACTTCATTTCAGAGTCGCGGAAGGACCAGCCGCAGCAGGAGCTGTCAGAGCGCCGTGAACCCGGGGCTGTGTCCACACACAGGAAACCTGCGTCCTTGGCCCCTTTCAGCTCATCCGGGCGTCCTCAAACCTTCCGTCCCTCTCCCTAAGCCACACATCGGCCAGACGACGAGGGGAAGGAGGCAGGAGAGCCCCAGCCCTGGGTGGAGAGAGGGCCGCGGGGCCCCGGGTCTTCGGCCTTCTGAGCCTGTGCCCCTCGCTCACCCACCTGATGCTCTTTCACCACTTCGCTGAGGCAGGGATACCGCTCTGAGATCCATCGGTAAAACTTGGGGACTCCCATTTTGACCGTCAACACTAATACTAGTTAGGGCCAAACCGAAACCAAACGCCCCGCCAGGGCCTCCGCTGCCGCCTCCGGCCGTCGCTCCGCGGATGACAACACACCGCCCGGCCGACCATAGAGAGCGCCCGCCGGGCCTAGAGCGGCAGGATCCGAGGCCGTCCCAGGGGCGGGGCTTAGCCGGCCAGGCCTTGCGCGGCAGGGACCGCGGTGCGAGCTGGTGGCGGTCAGAGGCTCTGCGGAGGTTTGCAGGGGTGCTTCACCTTAGGTGTGAAAATGCCCTAGCATAGAGCTGTGCTTTCTAAGTGAATTTGGAAGTGGCATAAAACCGCACGAGGGTGTGGGAAGGGTATCGAACACTGATATTTGTTCTGCTTCTGTCTCCAAGGGTTGCTAACCCCAGTATTTTTCACACAGATTTGGAAAGATCCGGTGATTTATTTGGCTTAGTTTGTTTTTGCTAGGATTTATTTTCTCTGAGGAATTTAAACCCACGACAAAGTTTCTTTTAAAAACGTTTTCCAAATTGTTTTTAAAAATTTCCATATTACACGCCCCATCCGCCCCCCCTGCCCCCCCCACAGACCTTGGATACGAAATCATTTGATGTTTAGTTTTTACATTCATGCCTCTGGGTTTTTCATATTTTTCCCCATCACACTTTCAACTGGGGAGAGTCTTACCAACTTAAGTGAAATTATCAATTTTAAATTTAAGAGTTTTCCACTTATTTGAATGTAAGGACCTAATTACTTTGTATTTAAATCTTCTGGATGAAAACTTACAGAAAACCTTAAACATTTAAACCTTTTTAGATTTTAAGATCTCAGGAAATGTTAAGTTTTGCTGTCTTCCATGACCACTGGATTCTGCATTCTGGGACTGCAGTATGGCAAGCATCATACAAATTAGAGAACGTTTATTTCGTTTTCATATTCACACTTTTTGGCTTGTATTTCTTTCCCCATCACACTTTAAACATAGTTTTATTAAGTGAACTTAATGATATGCTGTTTATATCTCTCTTACTAGACTGTCACTTCCTGGAGTACAGGAGAGGGTAGCTCTATGCACAAGTCTGGTACAATGCCTTGCCCACAATATTTATTCCATATAATTTTGTTCTTCAAGTGGATCCTTACAATAGCTAGGACTTTTAATTTTTTTTTTTTAAGACGGGGTTTCACCATGTTGATCAGGCTGTTCTTGAACTCCCGACCTCGGGTGATCCGCCTGCCTTGGCCTCCAAAGTGCTTGGATTATAGGCATGAGCCACCACGTCCAGCCTAGCTAGGACTTTTAAAAGGAAATCAGTAGAAGTTGTAAAATGAAATTAGGCTTGCTTGTTTCTTGCAAATATAGTTTTTGACCATGAGAACACATGATGTTCCATTTCTCCAGCTATAATACACAGTATGTATTAAGAAAGCAATTTATTTCTTCATAATTGAATGTATATTTTACATATAATTAATGATCGGAGAGAAATAACAGTTGATCTGAGAAAATAAATTTATGTGGTACTTTAGAACTGAACAGATACAACCATAGATTAATACCAAATGCATTACGTTTGGATTATTAACATATTCTTTTATATAATTTCATTTCACATATATGGGGTCCAACCAAGATACATCTGGCATAGTAAGTTTTCATCAGTAGCTTCTTGAATAAGGTAATGCACATGTCCTTCAATAGATAATGGCAGTCCTGTCACTCTATTTCGAGTCTTGATTACACCTTGTAGTCGTTGCTCAATGTCAAGAACATGGGTCTTGGCCTAAAAAGAAGAAACATAAAATCAAACACAGATGTTGATAATTTGGAATTACTACCTCTCTTTATATTTTGACATTTAATAAACGTTAACACCATTTTACTGACCAATACTCCTGTTGTAAGAGCAAATACAGAAAAAGAAGAAATTAAACAAATACAGTTAACTTGTGATACTGATTTTGAGGCTTCCAAGATTGATTCAACATCAACTGCTTAGACATGTTTCTGGGCTACATGAAATACTAAGGAATTATTTACACATTGCAATTCTCAAAAAATAATTAAAAAAAATTTTTTTTTTTAAGACGGGGTTATGAACAGATACTTTACAAAAGAAGACATACACGAGGCCAACAAACATGAAAAAATGCTCATCACTGGTGATTAGAGAAATGCAAATCAAAACTACATTGAAATACCATCTCATGCCAGTTAGAATGGCAATCATTAAAAAATCTAGAGACAACAGATGCTGGAGAGGATGTAGAAAAATAGGAACACTTTTACGCTGTTGGTGGGAGTGTAAATTAGTACAACCATTGGGGAAGACAGTGTGGCGATTCCTCAAGGACCTAGAAACAGAAATTCCATTTGACCCAGCAATCCCATTACTGGGTATATATCCAAAGGATTATAAATTGTTCTATTATAAGGACACATGCACAAGAATGTTCATTGCAGCACCGTTCACAATAGCAAAGACCTGGAATGAATCCAAATGCCCATCGATGATAGACTGGACAGGGAAAATGTGGCACATATATACCATGGAATATTATGCAGCCATCAAAAACGATGAGTTTGTGTCCTTTGTAGGGACATGGATGAACCTGGAAACCATCATTCTCAGCAAACTGACACAAGAACAGAAAATCAGACACCGCATGTTCTTACTTATAGGCGGGTGTTGAACAATGAGAACACATGGACACAGGGAGGGGAGCATCACACACTGGGGTCTGCTGGGGAAATAGGGGAGGGACAGTGGGGGGTGGGGAGTTGGAGAGAGATAGCATAGGGAGAAATGCCGGATATAGGTGAAGGGGAGGAAGGCAGCAAATCACACTGCCATGTGTGTACCTATGCAACTATCTTGTATGTTCTTCACATGTAACCCAAAACCTAAAATGCAATTAAAAAAAAAACCAAAAAACAATTTGTAGAGATCAGGGCTTGTTCTGTCCAGTTAGATATATATAGGTTGACTGTGATCCTACTGGAGCTCTTTCAGCTGTTTAGAATAGAAATGGAGGAAGCAGAAGTTTTAACAGGTTTAAGAACTGGTCAAATACTGGAATCCTTCAGTAAAAGGTATCTAGTATAAGCCAACTGTATCTAGAACTTAATGAAAAGGAACATGTCCCAGAAACCATCTGCTATTCAACTGCTACAGAGTGAACTTTACCAAAATTCTGGAAATATTAATATCATCCTACAGATAAAGATAATAGAGTAAGAAAAAGAAACTGAAGAACTAAAAAAGCAGCTAAACCTCCTTTCTCAAGACAAAGGGGTTAAGGTTGACATGAAGGATGGGGGCGTATGTGTCTAACCTTCCTCAGGCTGTATCAGTAGAATGAAAGTGGACTTAAACTCTTAAGGTAGTTGCCTGGAATGTAAATTTTTAATCTTTATTAGGGTATAGTCGGTATAATTATTAATTGTATTTAGTAAGCCTGTACAATAAAGATGTAAGAATGCCCCTCCCCCCACCCCCCCCCCCTCAAATCCGCCATCTATTCTAATTTATTAAAAATAACTATCTGGGCCAGGTGCAGTGGTTTATGTTTATAGTCTCAGCATTTTGGGAAGCCAAGGTGGGTAGATCACTTGAGTCCAAGGGTTTGAGACCAGTCTGGCCAACATGGTGAAATCCCATCTTTACTAAAAATATAATAATTAGACAGCCGTGGTGGTACACGCTTGTAATCTCAACTACTCGGGAGGCTAAGGCAGGAGAATTGCTTGAACCTGAGAGGCAGAAGTTGCAGTAAGCCAAGATCATGACGCTTCACTCCAGCCTGGGTGACAGGGCAAGACTCTGTCTCAAAAACAGCAACAACAAAGCTACCTGCAAACTTTACAGCTTAACTAATATTAGTAAGAAGTGAATTGCTGCATTCGTTAAGATAGCTTGTGACACACTGGTATCATGATATTAAAGCTCAGACCTGTTGTTCTGTTAAGTTCACATAATTTACACTTGTTTTTCCTACTGTATCTTATAACTGTGAATTGTCTATGGTTAAACAAGTGTGCCATGAGCTGTTTTATTATACACATGCTAATAATGTCAACATTGTTGACAATAAAGAACACTTACGGCATTGTGATACTAGAGAACTAGATTTCAGAGTAAGCAATAGTCATTAACTGTATTTCCAAGCAGTTCTCATGCACAGAGATGAGAACTATAGCTACATATCAAGTTCATTTGTAGAGATGAAGACTACAGCCCATATCAAGCTACACTTTCTACTAACCTTTTCATTGACAACTTCTCCAGTTTCATTCAGTGATGCTTTGGAATGTCCTTTCACTGGTTTACTCCATTCCACAAGAGGATCATGCAGAAAAGTCTTTAAGACACTAAAATTGAAATAAATATGGTACAATGTTATCTTTACAAGAAGAAATCTTGCTAACATCAGTATTTAAGTGGCGGATTAGGAGCTAACGATAATACTCTTATAATACACATTACTACCTTTTCACTAAGTTATATGAAATTTCTGTTTTGGTGTGAGTGGAAGGGAAGGCAGGAAAAAGACAAGATAGAGGACAGTCAGAGGAAAATAGAGTAAGATGAATTCTGTGTGCCATCTCTAAGTGTATCTTGTGAACTGGTAAATGACTATATGTTGAATGAAGGAGCTTAATCCTTACCAAGTCTTCAATAACCATATAACATGTATAGCTACCATACAGACCTAACCCAGACCCTTTTTTCTGTACTCTAAACATCAAATCCAATTACCTATGGGAAATACCCAGTTGGGTATGTTCTGAGCACCTCAAACTCAGTATCTCCAAAACAAAATTCATTACCTTTTCCCAGCTGTATTCCCCAAATCACCAGGGATCATCGGCATCTGCCCATTTGCCCTAGACAAAAATCTAGGAATCATCCTTGTTCCCTCTTCCTCTAACATCCAATTTCTCTTCCTAAATCTCTTTGGAATCTCTTCACTTATCTCTGTCTCTACTGCCACGACACTGTCCAGTACACCATCATCTTTTCCTGGGTTATGGCAATAAACCTCTAACTAGTTTTCCAGCTGTTAGCCCCAACTAGAACCCTAGTTTTTCCTACAGTACAAATCAGATTATCTCATTT